TACAACAATAGCATTTGAAATGTGGAATGTACTCAATGTGCCAAACTTGCATTGTTAGGGTGTTGAGGAGTTGAACAGCATTGGACTTATTAGGGTTAGAACACCGTCTCTGGTCCACTGATTTATTTTCCTGTCTATTCCCGAAAGCTGACAAAGTTGGCGATCACAAACCCCACCATGTAAACTCTCAGAACAAGAAGCAAGAGGGGGAGAATTTTGGATTCTCATTTATCTGTTCTGACTAGCTTGTGAATCTTGGCAATGTCCAAACATTAAGGCCCTTGTTCTTTCATGGAAACACAAGAATATCAATTGTTTAAATGAGATATAGAAGGATTTAAAGTCTGAATGAAAAAACATTTGACAGTGGAAGTGGCTTATCTTTGCCAAAGTCTGACACAAGAATATCTATGGAAACACATAGAGAGAAACGCAGAATAGACAACAAACAAAATGGAAGAAACATGATGGTTGTGAACATTCATTTATGTTTTTAAGTGCGATAATATGAAAGTTCTTATATTTTCCAAGTAATTAAGAGCATTTTATGCATGCAATCTAAAAAATATAAAACCATTTTTACTTCTTTTTTTTTATATTTTAGATCCAAATAATAGTTTTCATTTTTACTTTTTAGGCTTGAGATTGAAATGCCCCCTTAAACCAAAAGAATGATCACTTAGGCGGTATTTGTAATTGGTGTTGTTTTTTTCATAATATCATTTTCTCAGAAAATGCCAAAATGGTACTGTATTTCTGTATAGGCATACCGTTTTCTTAGAAACAGATTATTATTATTATTATTTTTAATTTTTGTCTGAGACCATTGCTGCCATATATAGGCACTTTCAATGCCACGTTAATACACTGTTGCTAACAACAATAAAAAATGAGAAAGCATAAAAAAAAGGCACTTTCTCAGACCATGCCTTTCCTGATTTTCTAGGTGTGGTCTAAAAAGATATTTTTTGAGAAAATGCCTAACCAAACCATGAATGTTTTTTCAAATTACAGATTTTAGATATGGCATCTACTTGCTGTTTATGCTGTTTGGCAAGTCCTTTTAGGAAGATCTTCTAGCAGCCCTGATGGCCAAAAGACGTATTAAGCTTTTGGGGTCTTGACTTTAAAGACAGGCCATTTGGCAAGTGGCTTGGTCTTGTGGGCTTTTAAAAACACATTTAGAAGCTATATACCATGATGGGAAGACCAAAAAACTTCATTTGAAGATTCTAGAAATTCGACGCTTTCAGTCTTTTTAAGTCTTTCTACATGTGCATCTTTTGATCTTACCAGCTTTTGGTTACCAAAAAAAAGGAGTAATTTTTGGTCATCGAATTTGATGAAGCCCAAAAGACTACAGGGAAAGACTTGCAAAACATCACCACAGTTTTTCAAAAAGCAGCATGAATTTCAAATAGTTACTTAGGTGCTGTTTGACAAGTCTTTTTTAGAAGATCTTTCGATAGACCTAACAGCCAAAAGATGATGTGAGCTTTTGCATTAAAATCTTAATAGCTTGAAAACTGTTTGGTTAAGGTGTGTCTTTCTACACAAAAACGAATTGAAAAAAAAAAGATAAAAAGTTCCATTTAAAGCTTCACAAAAATAGTTAGAAACAGGCTTCTCACATCTTTTTGGGGCTGCGGTTTTTAGCGGCTAAATCTTTTTCCCAACCAAATGAGAAAATACCAAAACTCCATCTGTCGGGTTTCTAAAAACTGCCAGCCTATGTGAAAAGACATGCCAAACGGGGCCTAAGCAAATATTCTTTATTTATTTCTTTTTCACTTCCCACGTGCTCATAAAAGTATGATTATTAGATGGAACATTGATGCCTGTGAATTGACATTAGTTTCTCTAGTCTCGGGACTTGGAGGTGACTTTGTTTTAATTTTGGTTCTTGTTTCTGTGGAGGAGGGTCTACAAAATTAACAAAACTACCTTTCCTAGTGCTTTCCTTCCTTAATCCACTCCAAGTAGTGCAAATGGAGTGGAAGAAATTGATAGATGGAGTCAACGTGTATGGAAAATTCACTTTCACTTGTCCTTTTGTAAAATTTTGGATTAATACCTTGTTTTTTGGAACTAGTGTCACTTTAGTCCCCAAACCTTAAAATGCAATAATTCAGTATCCAAATTTTAAAAATATGCCAATTCAATACTTGTGTTAGCTAGTTTGTTAGTCAATCGTTAAGTGGTATTAGAAGACATAAATACCCTTTAAGTGTCATTTAATTCTCTTTATCAATTATCCAAACATTGATAAAAAATGAACAGTCACAAATCCTTCCTATTTTATTCAAGAAAGTTGGGGTCACTAGAATATCCACTGAAACATGACCCCCAACTTTCTTGAATAAAAGAAGCAAGGATTTTGGACTGTTCATTTTTTATCAATGTTTGGATGGGTTAATAAAGAAAATTAGATGACACTTGAAGGGTATTTATGTCTTTTTAAATGTTACTTAATGGCTGGTTAACGACAGGTACTAGATTGATTTGAAAGTTAAGATGCACATTTTGAAGTTTGGAGACCAAAATGACACTAGGTCTAAAGTACAGGGAATTTTCCCTTATTCTTTCTACCAACTCCAAATAAAATAACAATTAAACATACAACTAATCAAGATCTAACCATCTGACTCACTTAGACCGGGTGCAGCAAACACCAGGCCACCCATAACGCCATGTCGCCAGATCATGCAAACCCCTACTCTCTCTCTCTCTCGTCTATGTGAATAGATTATGTTAAGATCCTGTCTCCTTCATCTCGGTTCACTCCATCCATCTCATCTCCCTTGTCTTTTTCACCGTACAAAGCAACGAGGAAGCTGTTCATGTCCATCACCACATTTATTTGATGGTCTCCTTCCTCGCAGGATCCCAGCTTTTTTTGGTACACCACTGTTGAGTGCAGTCCCATATGCACTAAACCAATCAAGACCATCCAACTTCTGCTGGGTGAAATGGTTCAGGCTGAGCCTGTATGGGTTTATAAGGGAAAGTGATAACCAGAGATGCTCTATTTATTTGCTTTCGTCAGAAAAGCCAAACTGAAATCAATGAACACCAGGAAGGTAAAAAGGGTTTTTTGGAAGGGTGGCAAGGTTGAACCAGGAACTGAATACCAATCAGGAAAAAGAACCGGATGGTTGGTGGGTTTTCTGATCTATCTGCCATTGCCAGCTCATACCTATGACAAATTGCATATACCATGTATATGTATAAACCCAATTGCTTAGAAAGGCTGAGCTAAAGGACCTGTCACCAAAAGATAAAAGCCATTTATGTAGGAAAAAAAAGAAAGATGAAAGCTATTTAGTAAATTTTCTTCCTCTACCAACCCTGCGGCAGAAAAAATAAATAAAAAATAAAGTCCATAACTTCAGAAAGCAAGTGGGATTTGTTTATAAAATACACTAACTTTGGGATGTCACGAGCGGCCACAGTACTAAGATTTATAGGAGCTTACTGGAAACAACACGTCAACACGTCCATTTCTCGCATAAAATTCCTTGCATTGATATACGATAAGCTGCTGGGTGTCCTTATTCCTTCTCAATTTAATTTATTGAAGCCCGTTTACTTAGTTTAATCTTTGTCTCCTAAATCACAACTCATAGGCTCATAACTGGGTCTCGAATATATAATATATTTAAGTATAAATTCTGTTGACGGCTTGACGCTTTGTAGAATATTTTAGGAGCTAAGGATGCCTTGAGATTGTGAAGAGATGAACTAGTAGTCTAGGCTTGAAGTATGGATCTCACTCTCTTAGTTGAGAATTGAGACTTCGGATCTGCAACTTGGGTTTAATTTAATTAAGAGTGATACTTCACACACATAGAAGTCTAGAAGATATTTTTAAGTTAATAGCTCACTGGGTTGGAAGTTCACAATCACAACCACCTCACCTGATGTATATATATATTTGATTCTGACAGTTCATGGTGCCCTTTTTATATGCTTTCTTTTTTGACCACAATGAATGAAGTCCCCTGAGATCTTCCAATAACCGAGTGTATATTGACCCAGTGGGTCTCTTAGTCCTAGGCTGGACACACTTCTCTTGCACGTGGGCCAGGTGTGAGGGTCACGTGTTTGGAGGGTTGTAATCTGAGTAGCTGTCCACACCTAGGCTCCTAGCATATAAAGAGTCAAAACCTTAGGGCCTATATCTCTGGCAAGAATCTTATTAAGCTATTATTTTCATTCTTGTTGATATTGTTAAATAACTTAATAACTATGAGAAGTTGCAATGCTTCTGCCTCCTGTTGCTACTTGCTAGCATCCATGTCTACTCCACCACTTGGGACTTGGGGACCAGGGAGTCCCACCGACGCTATCAAGAAACCCCTATAGCCTCTCTCTCTCTCTCTCTCTCTCTCTATAGTACTAGTAATAGTACCACCAGCACATAACTACACACATCACGTGGTTACCCACAACGAGGCTTCACGGAGAGACATGTTTTCCTTGCTGGACATTGTGAATCGTCCAAGTGGGGTCTTTACTATCTCATAGACATTTGGAGCCCATTTTGAATGCAATCGAGAGAGAATCGGGAGGAGAGCCTCTTAAATACGAGTGGTTAAAACAAGAATCTGATACAAGTATTAAGAGACTGGGCAAACAAATCTAGGAAATGCGGTGAACATGGAACGATGTCTGTTGGAAGGTCCATAGGAAGCTGCTTCTCCGTTCTCTGTGCATGTGTGAGCTCTTCCACATCATGGCTGGGTCCTGGGTGCTGGAGACCTGGAACTGGATTGTTGTCGCACGTCTAAGGTCTAACTCAGGATCAGGTTGTGGATTTTAACTAATAGCACAAATCGCGTATGATGAATTGATGAATACCTTGAGAGTGGAGATTATTTTGCATGTCATTATCAATCATCCATGCCTTATCCCATCTATATGGGCTCGGCTACATAGTATGAGCTTGTTTGGGTGTTTCAGCCGGCACTTAAACTTTTACAAAACTCTCACGATATGGATTCTGATTATTTTGCATGTACAATGCTAATTTGGCAATAGCGTGTTACAATTACAATGGTTCGTTCTAAGAGACAGATAATTCTTATACAATATACATTGCAGTTACAATGGTGAGACGTGAGATATCACTGTACTCGTTTAATCCATTTAGTTTCGACCCAAAAGAAAAAATGCTACATTTTGAACTGTATCATGCAAAACCCTTGCTTGCAAGGTGTACGGCATCTCGGTTCTGCAAGCAGAGGGCCCTAGCGAGAAGAACAACTCTTGTTTCTCTATTTCTTATAGGCTAGACTTCACAACTTTTTTCTTAGGTGCAGGATCGGATGTAGAAAGCTGCGCATACATGTCTGATATTGCTTTTGCAAAGTAAGCCTTTGCTTGAGGTCTTTTTATCTGGAAAAGGTAAAGAACAGAAAACTGTAAGACAATCTCGTTTTAATTGTGTTTCAGTTCTTCCCATACTGGGTGAAACATGACACTTGCCTTGTGTGTTGGAGTAAGAAGGCCATTCTCCATGGTGAATGCTTCAAGCACTAAAGTTACAGATTTTACAAATTCAAAACCTCTCAACTGCATGATGGGAAGATTAATAGTTAGAATGTTAAATAAATAAAATAAATGAAAAGGAGTTATCACTCTTTTGTATCTTAAGAGGGCTAGTAGAATATTTGTTGAAATATATTACCTGAGCTTTCTCTCCAACAGAATCCATGTCTCCCAGGACAGCTTCCCTTGCTCTTGTATCGTTGCAAAGTTGTCCTAGATCATCATACTGCACATATGCCAGGAAATAACTTCAGATCATATTCCTTCTCTTATTCAGATGAACCATGTGGACTATTTTTCCCTTACCAAACAGGGGTTCAACATAAGAGGCCAATCCTTCACCACCTTGGTGAACTTAAATCAACTGATTATTTGGCCTTGATATCCTTTTTGTATAACACTCTATATACAACACATATAAACAAGACCAATTGGTATGAGATATGGACGCACAAACTAAAGAATAAATTACTTTGGCTCTAAAAGAACCGACTGTTCAAGTTTGACGCAGCAGATATATCTTTGGAAAGTGGAAAATATCTGGATAGGATGATAAATCATATGAATTGTGTACAATGACTGACGGGGAATCAGATGTTTGAATAATAACATTTGTTTGACTAAGAAATGGTAAATGCCTGAAATGTAACTTGACAAATGGGTAACTAATATGGCAGAATTTTCTGAAGTGCTTTTGTTACACAAAAGTAGCATCTCTTCCTTCTTCGTCACAAAATGTCAATCCAAGGAAAGTTTAGTCCAAAGCTTTTCAAAGTCAAACAGATTTCAGCTCCTTAAAAACAAACTTGGAACAGAAGTCTTTTCTGATGATAAGATGCAGAACAGAATATGTGATGGATTTCATGGCCCAAAGGGATTTTCTTGCTTTTCAATCTTTTTAGCCCTGGACTAAACATAGAAACTAAGGTAATAAAAAATCAAAAGAAAATAAAATAAATATTTCCTAAGCAACTAAAAGTAGAAAGCTAAACAGAACAGTTTATCTAGAGGTAATGATCAAAGTATTGATACTCTCTATATAGAAATTTATTGTATCGAGAGTTTAAAATAATCGATACTCTGTTTTTTTTTTTTTTTAATTTTTTTATTTGGCATTTTAGAAGTGGTCCTGCCACATCAGCATTTGACTTAACCAAACAATTAAAATAAATGACTGGTGGGGTACACCAGACTTTCATTGTATAATTTTTATGAGCTGATCATCCCCATATATAGCTTTTCAAGGGGAGGGTTTTTATGTCCAACCTCCTTAGGTTTTTCTCTCTGATTTTAATAAAATTTGCGGTGGCCACCCCTCCACTGGGAGTGAACTTTGGGGCTTAGAAAACTTAATCTCCTCTCTATTAGTGTATCAGTTACCCTGAAAATAGATATGTATCGTGCGATAGACTACGATACCATCGATACATTGAACTTTGTCTGCAGGTACACTGTGTATGGAGACAAGGAGAAGATAAAGCATCATCCACTCCTAGGAAAAAACAACCTTTACTTGATTAACTGCCGTCAACTCTTCCATGTAGAGCAGATCAATTTGATGGGAATCCTAAACAGCTTCTTAGGACATATCGGGAAGAAGAAAAGCATGGTCCAGAAGTTCTAATATGGCATAATGATGGTTCAGGGCCACTATGGTTTTTAGTTTTAACTAATTTATTCTATTTGGAAAACAAGGGTATTTTAGTCCTTCTGCATCAAATACATGCTTATCAGCTATGTTGTATGCTCCTTCCAATCTCTCTGTCAAAATTTAATAAATGATTTTGGCATCATTTTAAGTCATTAGAAATCTTATTACTGGGAAGGGTATTGTAGTCTTTTAAGCTGTTTTCAGGCTGGTATCCAGAGGGAAGTATTTATAGTTATTATGTTAAGGATTTCTGCTTCCACTCCCCAGACTGCTGGAACCCAAATTTTCTTTCCCCACCTTACTCTTTTCACTGAACCTATAACATGGGATAATAGTTTAGATCCACATCAAAGTTTCATACAGAATAAAATATGATCTTTATCTAAATACCATCCATAGTTCACAAGGTAACGCCTAGGCAACTCCTAGGCGATGCTCATGGAAGGTTGCCTCGCTTAATTGCCAAGATATTTTTTAACATGGTGCTCTTGGATACTTTTATATTCTTAAGATTTTGAGATTATAATAATAAAATAGAGAATATTAAACTAAATTATTTAGTTTAAGTTAAAATAATAGTTTCCTTTTATTAATTTTCACATTTGTTAGGGTTAAATCAACAAGCTGCCTTGAACCCTCTTAAGACTTCAAAACTTGAACTGATAAGCATGGAAGAACTCAAAATTTTATCTGATCAACACATTGATTTTTTCATCATCATCATCATCATCTTCTTCTTCTTCTTCTTCTTCTTCTTCTTCTTCTTCTTCTTCTTCTTCTTCTTCTTTTCTCATCCTTTCTTTTCTTTTCTTATTTTCCTAAGACAAAAATGGAGGCTCAGCCCCTCTAGTTTTGATAATTCTGTTCTTTCTTCCTATTTTTTTTCATATGCTGAATTTCTATTTTTCAAATGAAGCTTGTACCATTTTTATGAAGATTATAGACAACTATTAGCAAAAGATGGTTACTGCTTCTATAGAACCCAAGGCTTAGGATCCATGGTTTTTATTCAAAAACTAGGTGACTAGGTGACAATTAATAGTGAAAGATGGGTTTTATAAAAAACTAGTGGGGACCCGTGTGATGCACATGATTTGTTAGCAGCAAGATTCAAAACTACTGCACGCGCTAGCACAACAAGCAACGGCTTTGAATCGCTTGCTCGGCTGCGCAAGTTAAAGATAAATAATAGAAGCATGTAAGAGTATACAATTGTTTTATATAATAATTAATAATCATTTATATTTTATATACTACTTTTAATAATTTATTTACAATACAAAAATAACAATAATTAATTTTAGATAGGGTTGGCAATTTTCCCCATTTCCATGACCCCCGTGGGGATCTGCCTCGAATGGGGCGGGGATGGGGATGATTTTTCCCCCCACAAGGACGAAGATGGGGAAATTTTCAGATGGTGCAGGGATGGGGAGAGCACTCCCTGCCCCACCCCATGGGATCCCCGCTAATACATATGTATATGTATGCATATGTTTATATATGTATATATGCATACATACGTCTATATGTTAATATTTTAAAAATATGGTTGAATATGTTTGAATCTTTTCTAATAGGATTATAAATTTTAATTATTTTATTTTTATTTTTTAAATAAAATAAAAAACAAAAACATCAAAAACATAATGGTTGACATTATAAAGAATCACGTGGAGTGGGGATACCCGTGGAGACGGGGATGTGAATAACTTTGTCCTCGTTAGCGGGGATGGGGACAAGGACATGGATGGAGATTTTTGTAGGGATGGGGATGGGGAGAGGCTCCTCGTCCCCGCCCCACCCAATTGCCATTCCGAATCAAACTAATGAAACTGACCAACCCGATTTCTAGGATTTCCAGTCGGCTTTGGTTCAACAATTTCCCAACCCGACTGGGTTGAATCAATTTTGCTTTGGCCATTTGTAAACTGACTGAAATCGAACGACCCGACCATAGATAAATATTAATATTTTATATTTTAAATATATATTTTTATATGGGAAAGTGGGAAAATTCCAATATTTCTTTGGCTAAAATAGTTTATATCATAAATTTATTTTTTAATAATGCCATTGTAATTTTTTTAAACTTAAATTTAATTTTTTAAGTTTAAATCTTTTGAACCGACTAACCAAACCAAAAATTGACCCAAACCGATATTACCTGAGTGACCAACCCCCAACCTAACCAGGTCGATTTGGTTGGCCAAACAACCTACAACTAAACCGAACCAACCCGTGAACAATAGTTTAATCTCCAATAATTGTTAAAAAGAACGTGTGGGGGAGAGAGAGAGAGAGAGAGATTTTAGGAAGATTTTTGGGGAAAGTAGAGTTCTAATTGGTAGTTTCAAAAATTACATGGATTAAAAAAACTAAAAACTTCAAAAAAGAAGAAAATTTCTAGACTTCCTTGTTTTAATATATATCCTTGAAAACTATTCCTCTAGGTTTCACTACATGTGGAGTAATGAGTTCACATGGTCAAAATGCTTCTTTTAACCCTTCAATAGAACATGACTTGCTATTAACCAAATCACCCAATTAGTGCTTGCCTAGGTGATTTGGTTTTGATGTGTTCACAAGGGTCACAACACTTGTGACCCTCTAACAAAACATAGATATGCTATTAGTCAAACAAAAAAAAAATTATCTAGTGAGTGCATCTTGTTGTTGCTACTCCAAATGATGTACTAACAACCCGTTAACATATGGAAAAATAGAGATTGCCTTTAGGCTGTGTTTTGTTTTTCACTACCTTTCCCTATTTTTTCCTTCAAACCAAACATAACACTAGGGTCTACTACCTTACTAAGACAATTTAGAAACATCAAAGTAACCTAATGTGCTGAGTGATTAGTTCAAACAACCACGACATTTTCATGCAACCCTCCAATGAAACACAAGCATGCTATCAATCGAATGAAAAACAAAATCACTGAATAAGTGCATTCCTAGGTGGTTTGGTTTTGATGGGTACATACATGGTCACAACACTTTCATGCAACCCTACAATAAAACATAGAAATGCTAACAATCAAATGAAAAATCAAATCACCCAGTCAATGCATGCCTTCTTCCTATCCCAAATGATAAAAACCAACTGCTAACATATGAAAAAATAGAGACTATCTCTAAGGTCTACTACCTTACTATGATAATCAAGAAATGCCAAGGTAGCCTAACATATGTTATGATGTGTTCACGTGGTCACAATATTTTATTATGGTCTTCCAATAAAACACTAGCATGTTATCACTCAAAAGAAAAACCAAATCACCTAGTGAGTGCATGTATAGGTGATTTGATTTTGATGAGTTCACGTGGTTACAACACTTTCTTGTGACCTTCCAATAAGTCACAAACATGCTAATTATCCAATTTAAAACCAAATCACCTTGTGAGTGCATGCCTAGGATATTTGGTTTTGATTAATCCACATGGTCACAACACTTTTTTGCAACCTTCCAATAAAACATACAGTCTATCAATCAAATGAAAGACAAAATTACCTAGTGAATGCATGCTTATTGTTGCTACCCTAAGTGATACATGAATTACCCGCTATTATA